GTGGAGTGGTTGGGTGCCCGGAGTGGCCTCCTGCCCCCACGTTGTTGGGCATCTGGGTGGGGAGGCTATGGAACTTGGGGAGGAGGGCAGGTGGTTATACGGGGGCTGCATCAGTGGTCTGTGCTTCTGCTGCCTTTCCTGCAGCTCCACCAGATGCTGGAGCATATCAGTTTGATCCCCCAGTAGCCTCAGCATTGCATCCTGCCTCCTCTCATCATGCTGCCGCCACCTCTCCTCTTGCTTCCGCAACCTCTCATCTTGCTCGTCCCTCCTGTCCTTGCATTCATTTTCTGCTTTCCTGGGCTCTACCAATGTTTGCTTCCATGCATTCTGCTGAGCTCTTTCAGTGCAGGACAACTGCATGAGCTCAGAGAACATTTCATCGCGAGTGTGGTTTATTTCACCTTTTTATCTGTGCTAGCCTCTGGGACGGAGATGATGGGGGAGTGTTGAAACATTTGCTGCTATGGGAGGAAAAAAAGGGAGAGTAGTATTTAAAAAGACACATTTTAGAGAACAATGGGTAGACTCTTTCACGGTGAACCAAGCTGTTAACATTACTTAGCACATGTGCTTTCGCTACAAAGTCGCATTTTGCCTCTTATATTGAGGGCCTGCCAGTTTGGTGTGTGAGATCACACACGCAGGGCCGGGCAACAGAATTCGGCTTGCAGGCAGCCATGGTAAGCCACAGTCTTTCGGCTTCTTCAACCTTCATAACATATGGGAATGGTTTCAAACAGCAGCGCCCTCCTTTCCCATACCAAGCACCTGTTGGGTTGGCCATTTAAAAGGAGGGGCTGCGGTTTTTGGGTTGACGTGCAGCACAAACCCAACTAACCTCCCCCCCCCAATTCTCTGGGATGATCGCTTCACCCCTCCTCCCACCACGTGACTAGTATTGGGGAAGATCCCTGGGAGCCAAACGCAAACAGCTCAGCGTGAACGGGCCCCCCCCACACCACGTGGCTAAAAGCAGGGATGATTTCTTTTCAGCCACAGGCAAACAGCCCAGCAGGAATGGCTACCTCTGAATGTCCCCTTAATAATGTCCTTGGAGGATTTTCCAGACATGTTAACAGACTTTTCCAGTAGCTGTACTGGCCGCGAATGCATCCCAAGTCTTCAGGGCAAATTAATGATTAAACACGCTTGCTTTTAAACAATGTATTATATATACAAAGGTACACTCACCAGAGGTGACTTCTCCAGCTTCATGGTCCGGGAGCCCGCCTTGGGAGGGTTGGAAGGGTATTGGCTTCAGGGTCATAAACAGTTCCTGGCTGTCAGGGAGAACGGTTTCTCCACTTGCCTGTTGTGTGCTATCCTCATCATCATCATCATCATCTTCGTCGTCCCCAAAATCCTCATCCCTGTTGCATGAGACTCCCCCCTTGCAGGTGTCCACAGACGGGTGGATTAGTGGTAGGGGCACCCCCTAGAATGGTATGCAGCTCATCATAGAAGCGGCATGTCTGGGGCTTTGACCCGGAGCGGCCATTTGCCTCTTTGGTTTTTTGGTAGGCTTGCCTGAGCTCCTTAATTTTCATTCAGCACTGCTGCAGGTCCTGTTATAGGCTCTGTCCATCATGCCTTTGGAGCTTTTTTCAATATATTGGCATTTCGTCTTTTGGAATGGAGTTCTGATAGCACAGATTCGTCTCCCCATACAGCGATCAGATCCAGTACCTCCCATTCAGTCCATGCTGGAGCTCTTTTGGGATTCAGGGACTGCGATGGTCACCTGTGCTGATGAGCTCTGCATAGTCACCTCTGCTGATGAGGTCACCATGCTGGCCAAACAGGAAATGAAATTAAAAAGTTCCCAGTGCTTTTCCTGTGTACCTGGCTAGTGCATCTGAGTTGAAAGTGCTGTCCAGAGCAGTCACAATGGAGCACTCTGGGATAGCTCCCGGAGGCCAATACCATCAAATTGCGTCCACACTACCCCAAATTCGACCCGGCAATGTCAATTTCAGCGCTAATCCCCTCATTGGGGAGGAGTACAGAAATTGATTTTAAGAGCCCTTTAAGTCAACAAAAATGGCTTTGTTGTGTGGATGGGTGCAGGGTTAAATCGATCTAACGACGCTAAATTCGACCTAAACTCGTAGTGTAAACCAGGGCTAAGCTGGGGTGAGAGGTAGATACACTGGGGAGTAGGGATAGGGTCCAGAGTGACCTAGACAAATCGGAGGATTGGGCCAAAAAAAATCTGATGATGTTCAAAGCCTTTCCTGGATGCCATGTTTGTGAAGAAATGCACATTGGAAATGCTGGAGGAGCTTTTTGCCGGAGATAAAAATAAAGATGACGTTGTTGCAAATTCCCTTGTCTGATTCCATGGCAGTGTAAAAATTGGAGGTAATTTACTAGGATTGTTTGTCAGCACTGCTTTCTGATTTGAAAACACCAAATACATGTCTCTTGCGGTGGACAAATCAAGCAATTTAAATGACACTGCCTGGCTATTGTTGTGTGTTAGATTTTATGATGGTAAAATTTTCAAGGAAGAAATTTTGTGCTTAATACTATTAGAAACTTACACCACAGGAGAGATAATTTTTGAAAAGGTAAAAAAAGGTAAAAGACTTTTTTTGGGGGGAAAAGGTTTATTTGTGCAGAAATTTAAATTGTTTGTTAGAGATGAAGGTCCCTCCATGACAGTGGAAGTGAATGGCTTTGCTTCATGTTTGGCAGTGATACAATCTTCATTAAGTCCATGCATCATTCACCAGACTGTCCTGTGTGCTAAGTAGTCTGGGGACTTGAAAAAAAATGGGTATTGTGATGAGATTAGTGAACTACATAAACTCAATTTTTAGCTTACAGCATTGTCTTTTTAAAGCTCTTTTACAAGAGTTTTCAGCTGTATCCAGTGATCTGTTGCAACACATTGATGTTCACTGGTTAAGTAGGGGGCATGTGTTAGAAAGGTTTTGTGCGCTTCGTAAAGAAATAATAGAAATTCTTTCAAACCATAAGATCAACAAGGACTGCAAGTTCCTGTAATTTGTGAATGATGTCTCCTTTATATCACAGGTAGCTTTTCTGTACGATAGTACTGGTCACTTGAATTCCCTCAACTTGCAGCTCCAAGGCCGTGCAAGTAGAGTTGGGAATCTGTTTGAAAAAGTGTCTTTCAGACAGACTTAATAGGAAAGATTGTGCACTTTCCCACATTGCGTTTTGTTGCTACAGATGAAACTTTGATGGAAACAATGCAAGAATTCCTAAACAACCTGATAGAAAATTTAAAATGATTTGAGAATTTTAAAATTCCAAAGGATTTGCTTTTATTTGTTCATGATAAGTGTGTCGTCTCTGGTGATGGATCTTGCTTCTGAAGCAAAGAACATTCTTGATTCAGTTGATGAAGGTGCTTTTCAGTTAGAAATTGTAAGGCTTCAGAGTTCAGATATATTAAAGGCAAAATTCTGAGAAGTGGGACTTTGTGATTTCAGGATTCAATATGCTGGCCAGTTTCAGAATAGCCAGAATCTAGCCATCTATCTTTTAACAAATATCTATGAATCTATGAAACAATGTTCGGATTAACATACCTCTGTGAATCTGGGTTTTCTACCATGAACAGTATTAAAAAAAACAACACAGCAATCACCTGACAGATGAGCATCTTCACCAGTGGTTGTACCTTGCCCAAACCATTTGCAAACCACTCTTCACAAAGCTTGCCAGAGATCATCGATGTCACCTCTCTAGTTAGAGATTGCCAGAAGCATAGGTAATAATGTTGTTTTATAAACTTTGTTAAAAGATTGCAACATAAGTATCAGTGTTTCTATCAAGGTCTTTATTTATTGGCAGCTGAAGGTTTGTTGTGTTTTTTTATTTTGTCAACGTTCTGCGCAGATGGCCTGCCTCTTTGGTCATAAAATTCTAATATCGGCCTGCGGGTAGATCTAATTGAGTATCGCTGCCGCAAGTGTAGGGACTGCATTTCTGCCTGCCCTTTTTGCAAATTGTGCAAAGGGGAAAAGGCTCCTCACATATCCCCCAAAACCCTACACATTGGTAAAGGTATGACCGACCCAGGCCCTGTAGTAATACTGCTGTTAATATTTACTGGGATTAGAAACAAGTAATAAAGCGCAACTCAAAAATTTTCACATCTGATTTCTTTGGACTTTAACTTCATTATCAAATTTCAGAATAAAAAATTTTTTACTTTTATTATGTTTGTACATCTAAATGTGTATAAATGGCAATGCAAACATCATATACTTCAACATATACAAGTAGCAGAACAGTCACTTTTTTCCATCTCCCATCAAAAGCTTAGGAAAATGGATGTGTATTTTCAAGTCTCACTTTTCATGTTTTTTTGCACAAAATCTTTAATAACTTCGTTGTCATATACTTTTGAGCCAATTTCAACTTTACTGAACAGCAAAACCCACAATATATCTGTTGGTTCTTTTGAGACTATTACAAATATTTATCAATTTTAGCTTTGAAAAGTTTTGATCTCCTGAAAAAAAATTCACAGGTAAGGTAAGGGCAGTGTGCAGGGCAAGAATGCTATTTGGGAAGAGGTCACCTTTCTTTTTCTTGTTGATAAACTGAAAGGTATGTTGAAGCTCTGGGGGTTGTGAGTTTATATATAACTGTGTAGGTTCATAGTAGTTAAACATTAACCACTAATGTTAATTGGATTGACAGTTCAGTGGGTTTTACCAGATTAACAAACATCTAGAAATCTCACTCATGACCACGTTCAAATACAAGTTGCTTGCCAAGATCATATAGGTATATCTCACTTAAGCAATTCCCTGCCCGTGCAGGGGCCTTGGGCATTTGTTTACATCAATCCCTCTATTCTCTGCCTGTGGCACACAATAGCTTAGTTTTCCAAGGGTTGTAATATTATGGTCTACTTTTGGTGGTTGAGTTTAGTGAGTGGGTGGTGTTGGTGGCCAGGGATTCGCATGAAGGGAAAATGTCACAGTTCCACTGGTTTTCTCTTTCCCCTTTTGCAGATAACAACCAAGCAGTTCTCTTTTCCTGTATTTTTGGAATTCTTGGCTTTGTAATTCTTGTGGTTCTAATCTTCCTGCTGTGCAGAAAGCAGAAGAGGTAAGGAATCATTCTAGTAAGTTGTTACAGATATCTGAGCAATTGAGAGAGGAAAGGATTTTTAGTCAGAATATTTTAATTTCTTTGGGGTATTTTTTCTTCTATACCTAAAAAGTGTCATTTCAAAACAGACATGGTGACACCCAAGTGATACATTTTTTTAGATGGTTCAACAATTTGTCACAAGGTTCCATAATTTATCATGCACCTTTGACCATTTCTCTTCCTCTCTTGTCACAAATCCATCAACTTTGGGCATGCTTCTAATATCTCTTATGAAAAAGTCTAGTAGAATTTAATAGGAAACAATCAGCTTTCTCTGTAGGGTTGTCAGCTATCTGGAGTAGCTCACAAGCACGAGTGCCAACCTCAAGGGCAGACTGTCAAGAAGCAGGGAACCCCAAATTGGTTGAGAGTTCTATATTAAGTTTTCACCAACCAAGTAACAAGTGTGAACTCCTCAAACACTATGGTTTCCTAATCGTGGAGTCCCAGACAGTCCCCTTGGGTACTCCCATCTGTCTTGCCATCCAGGCAAACTTGCCTTTGTGATAGATGGTCCTTTACACCAAAAATCATAACAATATTCAGGTTACTCCCAGTCCCAAAGGACTAGCCACTTACCCCAAGTCAATCGCACCTTAGACCTCACACCAAAGACTATGCTTGTAGCCAATCCTATAACTAAAGATTTATTAACTAAGAAGAAGAAATGAGAGTTATTTACAAAGTTAAGCCAGGTAAACAAACACACAAATGAGTTACAGTCTTAGGTTCCAAAAGGTGATAGAAGCTACTGAGATATACAAGCTTTCTATGTCCTTTAGCGCTAAGCAGCTTTGGGATCCCTTGCTTATGCTTGGAAATATTGCCCTCTCCAAATTCCAAGCAGTATAGTGATACAGTTCCTTCAGGTCTGGGATTTTTATTCCCTTCTTCCAGAGTTCAAAGTGATGGGACAAGTGTTTGCACCCATCTCCTCTTCATGGGGGATTGGAGGTGGGTGTAATCAACCAAGTCTTTGTCCTTTGATGTTTCACAATGACTCATTTGGTTTCAGTGGGCCTTATTCTGTGCAGGACCATCACTTTGCATTAATTAATGCTTCTTTCCTGTTTGATGAGTTACACAGTTACAGAGGTTTACAATGCAAACAGTCAATATAACTTTATACCACGTGTCAAGGTTCCTTCCCCACATCTGTACCAGATGTGGGGACCCGCATGGAAGACCCCCTAAGCGTATTTCTACCAGCTTAGGTTAAAACTTCCCCAAGGCACAAAGTCTTTGCCCTAGAATTAGGTAAACGCTGCCACCACCAAGTGATTTAACCACAATCAGGGAAAGGACCACTTGGAGTTGCTATTTCCCCAAAATATCCCCCCAAGCCCTTACACCCCCTTTCCTGGGGAGGCTTGAGAATAAACAAGATGAACACAGACCAGTCTTGGATTTTTAAGACTCAAAAAACCCAATCAGATTCTTATAAAACAGAACTTTATCAGAAGAACAAGAAAAGATAAGAGAACAACTCTGTAAAATCAGAATGGAAGATAATCTTACAGGCAGTCAGATTCAAAACAGAGAGAATCCCTCTAGGCAAAACCTTAAATTACAAAAAGACACAAAAACAGGAATACACATTTCCTCCAGCACAGCGAATTTTACAAGCCAAAACAAAGAAAACCTAACACATTTTCTAGCTAGATTACTTACTAACTTTACAGGAATTGGAGGGCTTGTATCCTTGATCTGTTCCCGGCAAAGGTATCATGCAGACAGATCAAAGCCTTTTCCCCCCCTCCAGATTTGAAAGTATCTTGTCCCCTCATTGGTCATTTTGGGTCAGGTGCCAGCCAGGTTACGTGAGCTTCTTAACCCTTTACAGGTAAAAGGACTTTGTCTCTGGCCAGGAGGGATTTATAGCACTGTATACAGAAAGGTGGTTACCCTTCCCTTTATATTTATGACACCATGGGATACAGATGTTATAAGTGAGATCAATACAAGCAGTATCCTACAAGCATTTCATCAAATCTAAACACATTCTTACAAACTTAAATCTATTTTAGCAATGCTAGCACACGGGTCAGTCAGACTGGTTTCCAGCTATGCATTTGTTAGTATTCATGAAGCCTAGGGGCCTTGGCTTGAGCTGGCACCTGGTCTGCCAGCGTCACAATAGTCTTTGAACCATCCTATGGAATTTAACAGAAAATTATATACTTGCTATAGAAACCTATAGGATAATGTAAAAGTCCTTCAGAAAGGTGATCATTTGCTATTAAATTCCATAACATTTTAAGAGAGAGATGTAATATATATCTGCAGAGAAGATTAAAATATCTTATATATATATGAGCCTGCAAAATGTTTTTTCTTTTCCACCAAGTATGGAATTTTCCCAAAAAAAGTTACATTAGCAAAGTTCAAAGTTGGGATACTTAATTTATTGAAAAGCTATTTTAGCTAACTATTAGAGGTCTCTGTGACTTCTGGTCCCTGTAAACATGGATTCATTTTGACTGTGGCATGTGGCTTTACAGGCAGAGAGAATAATATTAATAATATTATAAAAATAATATTAATGAAACTTAAAATTCTCTATGGCTCCTTTTCTGAAAAGACAGTCACCATTATTGAATTTATGGAGAAGTGAGATGGGAAAACATATATGGCAGTAGTACTCAATGAAGCCCCAGACACCACCAACACTCTACCCATCACTGAAAATACAAACCAATTGATTCTGTCACCCAAAATCAGCTAATTCTGGTACTCCCCAGAACTCAAACCATTTAATGTTTCCTCCTACAAAACATACTTCTTTAATGTTGCCTCATACAATTAACACAGAATCCCCATACCACAACCCTCATGCATAATTGATATAGATTCCCATAGAATCCAGATACTTACCACAATTAATACAATGTCCTCACATACAGCATCAAACAGAAAATTCATGGAGAGCCCCCTTCACCACCTCCACATTTGGCAGAGTCCATATACATTACAGATTCCCACAGGGAGAACTCATCACAATTAATATATTCTCCCCTCCCAGGCCTGGGAAGCACAACAGCACTGGGAGATGTTCACACATCCCCATGACTGAGTAGGGAGCTGAGGGTGGAAAACCACCAGCTAACCATCAGCACATGGTCTGCCAGTAGAATTGATGAGGTGGGACAAACTGATGGTGGGATCACAAAGTGTAGATATGGCATGAGAGCCCATACTGGCAGTTTCTGAGCCCTGCATTTAAATTAATTTGTGATTCCTGCCCCCCCAACCCTATGATAAGAGGCATTTCCATAGTACACAGTGTTCTGTTAGCTTTTGTTCAACACATTAATAAAATGAGATAAAGTTACACAGTTCATAACTTCAATCTTCCAAAAACTGCCAATAAACCCTTCATGTCCCATCCACCATCATACATTCTGTTGACCTGTATATGCTACATGTTGCTGAAAGAATCTGTATTTTACAAATGTTTTAGAGAATTTAGAAAAAAATATAGTATTGGGATTTTTTGAAGTCCATGAGATCCTTCATGGTCCTAGAGGTCTGCACTAGTGGAGCTTGAGGCAGGGTGAGGGCCTGTGTGTGTAGCTGTAAAGCTATTTGCACTAGAAAAGCCATATTAAATTATCTAGTCTATCCTTGGGGAGTCATGAAAGATTGCTAACTACAGTATATTCTCCAGTACAGTTTTAAATATGCCAAGTTATATGTTTTACTATTGTACATGAGATGAGATAGAATACACAGTGTCTGCAGAACTCTGGCACTGAGATAGTTAAATAAAAGACAGACAAGGATCTGACCTTGGTGTTTTCTGCTAGGACCAGGCACTTACATGTACATACCATTGCTTGTTGTGAATGTGACAAGAGAAAATTGGATGTGAAGCCTTTTAAATAGAAATATTGCCAACTTCAGCTGTTCAAAAATATTGAGTCAGCACCTAACAAATCATGAGATTAAAAAAAATAAATTTTGGTTCTTTGATTTGTCTTCTAGCTTTTAAGCTGTTAGGGTTCACATTTTCAAGCTTTTCTACATAACCGTAAAGGTTTGAAACTTAGGCCCAGATTCACAAAGATATTTAATTGCCTACATCCCAGATTTAGGCCATAAAATTTTGAATTTAGACACCTAAATCCCAGTTTTGGCTCCACTGCGATCCACCAGACTTCTGCCGAACCCAGTAGGGGTCTAAATTCATATAGTGCCCAATTTTTCAAGGTAAAGGTTCCCTAGGCATCTGTTTTTCTGCATCTCAGCATGTGTGCTGTAGCCTTACTCTAGAAATCTGGATGTCTATCTCTTACTTAAGCCCCAGAGCAATTCACAAATGGGGGGAAGATAGATGTTTGCCTTCTAACCCGGTAGCGGCTTAGCCACTGGACTACAGAGTCAGTCTCTCTCTCTGGCCCAATGACTATTTAAGTATTTATCCACAATGGAACAGTCATTGAGTGCAAGAGAGAGTGAGAAGGATATTGATAAACTGGAGAGAACTTAGAGAAGAGCCATGAGAATGATTACAGGATTGGAAAAATGCCTTATAATGGTATATCAAGGAAGTCAATCTATTCAGTTTAAAGAAAAGGTTAAGGGTTACTTGATCACAGTTTATAAGTACCTACATGGGAACAAACATTTGATAATGAGCTCTTCAATCTAACTGACAAAGGTATAACAAATTCCACTCAGTGGAAGTCAAATTCAGACTGGAAATAAGAAGCACTTTTTCAAGGGAGGACAATTAACCATTAAAACTATTTACCAAGGGCCTGTGGGGAATTCTCCATCACTGGAAATTTTTAAATCAAGCTTGGATGTTTTTCTAAAAGATCTGCTTTTGTTCAAACAGGAATTACAGTAACTCCTCACTTAAAGTCATCCAGTTAATGTTGTTTTGTTGTTACATTGCTGATCAATTAGAGAACATGCTCGTTTAAAGTTGTGCAATGCTCCCTTATAACATTGTTTGGCAACCGCCTGCTTTGTCCACTGCTTGCAGAAAGAGCAGCTGGGGAGGAGCAGGGACGAGGTGCACTCAGGGGAGGAGGCGGAGAAGAGGTGGGGCAGGAGCAGGAACTTAGGGGAAGGGGTGGAATGGGGATGGGGCAGGGGTGGGAAGAGGCCAGGTCAGGGGGGGTCGAGCACCCACTGGGCAGAGGGGAAGTTGGCGCCTATGGCTCCCCTAAGTTCCCTGTGCAGCAGCCGCCCAGAAAGCTATCAATTGCAGGGCAGTTCAGATGTCCCTCCCCCCACTGCCATGTGCTGCTCCTGCCCTCTGCCTTGGAGCTGCTCCTGGGAGCCTCCTGCTTGCTGTGGTGCTAATGTCAGGGTGTCCCCTCCCTCCCCCTTCTGTACCCATCTCCACAGTGTCGTGGGGGACACTACAGGGCTCAGGACCGAGGGAGCTTGCTGGCAGCAGCTGCTGTCTCAACTTGCTGATCTGCTTTAAAAGGCAGTGGGGGGAGTGGGGTCAACGTACTTAAAGGGGCAACACACGTCTCTTTCTCCCAAACAAAGGGTGTGTGTCTCTGTCTCTCTCTGCCATGCCGTCTCCCCTCCCTCCATTCCTGGTGCCTTGTAGAGTGAGGCTACATTAACAACAATGTGTTAAACCTTAGGGGTTCAGCCGAGGGCTAGTTCATCATTTAGCAGTAAGGCATTCCCTGGGAAATATCCCACCCTCTTCCACACTCTGACTTCACCACCTCAACCAAGCTTCACAATTATCATTGCTGTGTACAGTATTAAATTGTTTGTTTAAAACTTATACTGTGTATATGTGTGTGTCTGTGTGTATATATATACTACTACTTTAAGCTAAACGATGTTAAGCGAATCCAATTTCCCCATAAGAATTCATATAAATAGGGGCAGTTAGGTTCCAGGGAAATTTTTTTTGCCAGACAAAAGACTATATTTTTTATATACCTGTGTGTGTGTGTGTGTGTGTGTGTATACATACACACACACACACACACACAAGAAAAGTTTCTCTGTGTGTATATATTATGTGATAGACCCAGGCCAGTTGGGTACAGCAGAGTAGTAGAAGGCAGATATACTGATGACCACTGGATAAGCAGTTTTCTGTTCCCTGACTGACCAGAGCAGGGGCTGCTCCAGGCTAAGGTGGACATGACTCCAATTAACCTGCAAAGAGTCAAGTGAGGCTGTTAAGCTAATGTGAACACCTGACTCTAATTAAGGCCCCTCTGATAGTATAAAAGGGCTCACTCCAGTCAGGCTGAAGAGAGCCAGAGAAGAGGAAGTGTGTCTGAAGGAGTGGGTAGTGAAGACACCCTCAGGCCTCTGGAAAGGGAGCCCTAAGGTAAGGGTGAAGAAGGCATTAAGAAAGAAGCGGGAGAGCTGTGGGGAAGTGGCCCAGGGAAATGTAGCAACTCTGGCAGTGAAAGGTCGGCTGCCAACAGCTGCTGCCATGAGGGTCCCTGGGCTGGAACCCAGAGTAGAGGGTGGGCCCGGGTTCCCCCCAACCCGCCACTACAGAAACACCTCTGGGGAGGGGAAGACAGGTCCCTCTCAGGACAGGAGGCTAAACTGTTCTGGAACAAGCCCGTAGGGACAACAGAGACTGTGGGAGTTCTCTCACCAACCTGCTTGCTGGCTTATGATGAAAAGGGCTCAGTAGACTGTAGCCCTGGCCCTAGAGAGAGAAGAGCTATGTGGAGGTTCGCAGTGAGCCTCTGAGGCTAGCATGAACCACCTGGAAGCGTGGGACCCACAGGGACAAGGTCGGAGCTCTGACACAATAGATATATATATGCACATACAGAGACACACATGCAGGTATATAAAAATATAGTCTTTTGTCTAGCAAAAACAATTTCCCTGGAACCTAACCCCCCTCCCCCCATTTATATTAATTCTTATGGGGAAATTGGATACGCTTAACATAGTTTAGCTTAAAGTAGTATTTTTCAGGAAACATAACTACAATGTTAAGCAAGGAGTTACTGTAATTCAGGGAAATTCTCTGGCCTGTGTTCTACACGAAGTCAGACTACATGATCATATTGGTCCCTTCTGGCCTCAATCTATAAAACTCTCAATAAAATCACAAGAATTAGCAAAACTGAGACAACCAGTAATTCTGTTTTATATCTTTCCCTTAACAGGAAGGGACTCAGATTTTATTTAAACAAAAAAGTATTTAAATGGTCCCAATATTCCCTAAATCTGTTTAATCTCCTGCTCGCTCACGTGCACACTCTCTCTCCACTGACCGATAAGGTGCTCATCTCCCAATCTATACTCTCCCAGAGAGAATCAAAGTCTCAGCAATTTTTTCATTCACTCCTCTGCTTTCTAAAACTTAGGCTATGTCTACACTACAGCGGTGCAGCTGCACTAATGCAGTTGTGCCACTGAGGCTTCTGGTGAAGGTGCTCTAAACTGATGGGAAAGAGCTCTCCTGTCGTCTTAATAGCTCCTGCCTCCATGAGAGGCAGGAGAAGCTCTCCCGCCAACAGAGTGCTGTCCACACTGGCACTTTGGTCGGTATAACTTATGTTGCTCAGGAATGTGGGTTGTTTACACCCCTGAGTGACGTAAATTATACTGAAGTAATTTGTAGTGTAGCAATAGCCTTAGATTATCCAGTCAGGGAACAGAAATAACACCATGTGACCTGCAGACCAATGCCACAGTTCTAAGCAAATGATGAATCACAAATTTCAATGCAAAAAGTTGTCATACACTGAAAAGCCTTTTTTCATAAAAGCTGAACAATTGCAAATAACAAACAAACTAATAAAGAATCTAGTTTCCTTGCAAATGGAGAGGGAGCTACATTTCCTGAATAGGTTATTTATTGTGAATTATTTGCGCAGCTCTAGTATTGGTAATGTGTAACGGGGATGAATGACTATCCTTCAGTGGGCTATGCATTGAAATTAAACACCATCAGGAGTTCTTCTAAAATTGATACAGAATGTTACATTTCCATCTAATTCAGTTCTGTTGCCAAGGTGCTTAACTTTTTTTTTTTTTATGGCTCTTTAACACTCGCCTCCAACATTAGTTTCATCTGCTATTTTGTCTTTTTTCCAGACAAAATAATTGGAATCAAAAACTCAACCAAAATCCTGGGGTTTCAGCTACATCAGAACAAGAATTAGTGCAGCTTCAGAGGATAGGAAGTTTGTAATCAGAGTACAACCGAAGCACAGCAAGACAACTGTCTGCAGTAAGCATAGTTTTCTCCACACCAACCTAGAATATAACTTTTGCCATGGAAGATTTATGCTGTATTCTAATGGTCAGTTTCTGCCTTCATTTACATCTTGGCTGAGATGCCAGAGAGAGGAATAAGTGGTGCAGATTTGGCCTTTTGTATGTCAGGTGCAAGGAATAATGCTTCTAGGCATCGGCCTCAATTTGTGGTTTGGCTTCCTATTTCAGTCATCTTTCTCTAAGTAGAAACATGAGGTTAAGAAAGCTAGAGCCATTCTGTTCTTGGACCTTCTCGGAAAGTTACTTTGCTTTCTTAAACTTGTTTAACTTCTAGTATTTGGGGACTTTCACATGCATTCTTCTTTTTTCTTCTTCTTTTAGGCTGTTACTGGAATAGGAGAGAAATGAGAGCAGTCCTTGCTGCCTGTTTTCACACATTGTACCAGAGAAGCAGCCCCCTCAGACATACCTCTCCCTTTACAGACTGACCCTCAGCCAAGCCACCATGCTGTACGGACAATAACATCCCTCCCTTTCTCCTTGATCATTTTAACTTCAACCACAAGCTCTTTTTACAGTAAGATTGTAACATGAAAAAGTAGTCCAACCTAAAATAGCCTTTCATGTCTTGGGTTTCCCTTTCTCATCTAGGTGAAGCAGTATGTTGCTTTCCCTTCACTTAAGATTCAGTTCTTAAAAATAATGTCACTGCTGTTTCGTTTTAAAGGAATAAATCCGTGGCTTTTTACTCTCCCCTAATGCCAGTGCTTCTTCCAACAATTAGATGATCAGATAGTATGTTGATGGGAGACATATATGGATGGATTCAAATACTGTTTGTCCCTGTTGTGCTTGTACAGCTCTTTTATATCTGCAAACTTCCACTGAAGGTAAAGGAAGATTTGCCTATATAAGAACATTCAGGTAGAAAGGATTACAGTTCTTAATATGGCTATCCAGGATGCTTTTGCTGGTCCCAATTTGTATAATCCCTAAATGGTACATGAAATGAAGCACTGATCTCTTTAAAAAGGATTGTAATTCTTTGTCTTAGACTTCCCTTCCTGTGGCACACTTGCATATGAACCACCCAACCAGTGTATTTGTAACTGAAATGGGACACCCTACTCTCACCCCTCACATTGAAAGATGACGACAAGAACATTTTCTCCCTGGATTCTTAATCAATACCTTTAATTGTAATTTCTGTCTTGTATAATTGCAATAGATAATGTTTGTGATTAGTTAAGGACTCCACTTTGCACTGACCTTTAATTGTGTCCCAGTATGTCTTATTATCTTCATTAGAAAGTGATTTCTGAATTACTATCATGTGTAGATTTTTTTTTTCAAAGAAAAGCCTCCAGGTGCCTCTGCACAAGTCCCTCTCAGCGTGCAGAGTCCATTCTGTCAAATGCAATTCCTTTCAATAAATCAGACATAATCATTAACCTTTGCAGTTTCCAATCAGAAAAATCTTTGCCTCACATATTGGGTAGAAAGCCAGGGTTGCTACAGACAGAAAGGTGACTGTGTAGAGGTGGTTCTAGCTGAGCTGGAACACAGTTTATACCATAATGGGAACGGAGCCCCAGTGAAATAAGACAGACTGTTTATAGTTTACTGTAGACTAAGTTATAGTTTAATCTATGATTTCATAATACATATGAAAAATGAATTAAATCACAACAAAAAAAGTGGGACAAATTCTAGCTGGAAAAGTCCACTATGGCTAGATGTGCAGTCTGGTCTTATTTAATAACTAGCCGACAAAGGGGTAAGACGATCCAGTGGCCGGAAAATGAAGCTTGACAAATTCAGACTAGAAATATGTGGCAATGAACAGTTGACCTAGAGGTGTGGCTGATTCTCCATCACTTTAAGTCTTTAAATTGAGAATGGATGTCTCTTTAAAAGATACACTCATGCCTTTACAAATACAGCCCAAAATTGTGTGTGTGTGTATATATATATATACACACATGTATGTATTGTGATAGACCCAGGCCATTTGGGTACAGCAGAGTAGTAGAAGGCAGATATACTGGCCACTGGATAAGCAGTTTTCTGTTCCCTGACTGACCAGAGCGGGGGCTGCTCCAGGCTAGGATGGACACATGACTCCAATTAGCCTGCAAAGAGTCAGGTGAGGCCATTAAGCTAATGTGAACACCTGACTCTAATTAAGGCCCCTCTGATACTGTAAAAGAGCTCACTCCAGTCAGGCCGGGGAAAGGAAAAGGGAGCCAGAGGAAAGGAAGTGCAGCTGAAGGGCTGGGTAATGAAGACACCCTCAAGCCACTGGAAGTGTTGCACACTCATAGTGCTAGTATAAGGGGCCCCACCGAGCCTCTACTCCTCAGTTCCTTCTTATCACCCATGGCAGCTGTTGGAGCTTCCCCACCTTTGCCTTGGCAAAGTGTGTTAGTGGTTTCCTAATTGAGAATTCTGTAAATAGTTTTATTAGTTAGTATAGTGTGTTAAGTGTAGATAGTTTAGAGTAGTAGCTAGGACTTCTCTCTGTGTCTGGAGAGTGAGTCCATCTCTCCCCGGTACTGTGGCATGCCTCAGTTACTGTGGTTTAAGCAGTGCTCTTCCTGTGCAAAGCCTATGCCAACCAGTGACCTGCACTTGAGTTGTCTTAAGTGTTTGGGTGAGGGGCACAGGAAAGATCGATGCGAGATCTGCCGTGATTTTAAACTGTGGATGCCAAAGGATCGGACAGCAAGACTAAAAGTCCTCCTCTTGGAGGCAGCACTGAGGCCTGCCTCGGAGTTGAGATCTGACTTGGCACCGAATACGTCCACATCTGTCCAGAGCCCACCACCCGCCTCTAAGAGCTCACAGCACCGCTTTTCCTCACCGGTGCCAAAGAAGAGGCACATAGGATATCAGGAGAAGACCAGTTCCCTGGCACCAAGAACGGACAAACGGGAGGATAGGGATAGAGAGAGACCCATGCAGAGCCGCTCTCCCTCGCCGGCACCATGGCAGCCTCCGGCATTACCACCAGAGCCACAAATGCCCAGAGGTGAGGTGCTACCCCTCACCCGGCACTAGATGGATGACTTTGCGGTACCATCAACCCAGGAGGTGTATGCTTCTGCTAAAGACTTGATGACTCTGCCAGTACCGAGCCCTGATAAGGCGCCTGAAGCGGCACCACCTGCGCCGCCTAGCGGCACCAAACCCACTACTTTCAGGCCAATCTCAAGACTGGCCTCTAGGGGAAAGACTCTGTTTATTACCTCACCAGAGATGTCCCCGTGGCACCGGTCCCTGGCGCTGGGTGGATCGTTACCACCATAGTCACCTCAGTCATCCAGCTCTCCCTCGTCTTCAGGATCAGATTTGGGGTCCGACATCTCAAGGCCGCAGCACCGTCGCCACTCCCCACACCCATCTGACGTCGGGAGTCCCAGCAGCCATGATGCCTCAAGGCTCCTGGTCCATGAGTCCCAGCATCATTCCAATGGCCCTTTTGGAACCCCTGGGGGTTTCCCCCAGGTCAAAGTACCAGTTCGAGGCGCTCCTATTCAGCGTGGTCAGAGATGAAAGCAATGCTGGGGATGCACCGATATACTCCTGAGCCGAGCTCCAGGGTCAACGCTGGACCCGGTCCCAGTACCGGTCCCAGCACCGAATCCCCAACACGTCCCAGTACTGAGGCAGATGCCTGTACTGGTACTGGCCAGCAAGTGCACACTGGCCAGGAGGAGATTCCCTTGGACACTAGTACAGTATATCCCTCCTCCTCGTCCTCACTGGAGGACGAAATTAATGCTTAAAGGGTCTTCTCCTCCCCAGGATCACCTGAGAGTCTACCAGGACTTACTTAAGCAGGTGGCATCTAATTTGGTTCTCCAGGCAGAGGTTGTTAGGGAACCGTCTGTTGGCTTCCTGGACATTCTGATGGCCACAGCCCCAGCAAGGGTCGCTCTCCCCTTGCACAACTCCATTATAGGCCCAATAAAGACCCCTGGCAAAACCTAGCATCCATCCCTCCCACGGTCAAGAGAACTGAGAGAAAATACTTTGTGCCAGCCAAGGAATGGGAGTTTCTATTTTCCCACCCCATGCCTGGGTCTTTCATCATAGCAGCTGCTAACAAGAAAGACCGTCAAGGCAACACAGAATCAACTCCAAAGCCAAAGGAGCCTAAAAAGATGGACCTTCTGTGAAGGAAGGCCTGTGCTACAGGAGGACTCAAACTTAGTCATCCCTTCCCACATGTTATAGTCATAGCGACCCAGCAATGCCTGTTGGGTCGCTATGCGCAAGTTGAAGGACAAACTTCCGCAGGAGAACCAGCAGGAGTTCTCAGGCCTGGTGGAAGAAGGCAAGACCACTCCCAGAGCCACCTTACAGGCAGCCCACATCAGTCACTATGCGCAGGAGCTCATGGCTGCATGTCTATTCGACATTGGTGAGGCCTCATCTGGAGTACTGTGTCCAGTTTTGGGCCCCACACTACAAGAAGGATGTGGATAAATTGGAGAGAGTCCAGCGAAGGGCAACAAAAATGATTAGGGGTCTAGAACACATGACTTATGAGGAGAGGCTGAGGGAGCTGGGATTGTTTAGCCTGCAGAAGAGAAGAATGAGGGGGGATTTGATAGCTGCTTTCAACTACCTGAAAGGGGGTTCCAAAGAGGATGGCTCTAGACTGTTCTCAATGGTAGCAGATGACAGAACGAGGAGTAATGGTCTCAAGTTGCAGTGGGGGAGGTTTAGATTGGATATTAGGAAAAACTTTTTCACTAAGAGGGTGGTGAAACACTGGAATGCGTTACCTAGGGAGGTGGTAGAATCTCCTTCCTTAGAGGTTTTTAAGGTCAGGCTTGACAAAGCCCTGGCTGGGATGATTTAACTGGGAATTGGTCCTGCTTCGAGCAGGGGGTTGGACTAGATGACCTTCAGGGGTCCCTTCCAACCCTGATATTCTATGATCAGGGTTTCCACAAGAAGTCCAGCAAGCAGTGCAAGACCTGCCAATCAAGGGGCCCTCTCTTTTTTTTTTTTTTTTTTTTTTAACAAACCGATGCTAGGCTCCATGATGTTAAGGATACCAAAGCAACTCTGAAGTCCCTGGGTTTGCAATCCCAGTCTCAACCCAGGAGACCATATAGGCCTTATCAGTTTGGCTACTTCTATCCTTACCAGAGATACAACCAGAGGAGACGAAGGAATAGAGACTGTGGGTGCAGGCCACATCCACCTTCCTGCTTCTCAGTGCAGCCCTCTCAACTGGCCCCTTGTCATCTGGGTACCTCAAAGCACTCATTTTGATGGGTTTTTCGAGGCCAGCATATGAATCCCACTCTCTCACGATCCAGTTACCCCGATTTTTTCCAACCATCTTTTCCACTTCCTCGAGGCCTGGAAAAGGGTCACTTCCAACCACTGGGTCTTAAACACAGTGGAGGTCACCTCCACCCCACCCTCCCACCCCCTTTCTCCATCCCTCTTCAGGAACCCTTCTCATAAGCTTCTGCTATAGCAGGAAGTTCAATCCCTTCTCAGTCTGGGGGCTGTGGAAGAGGTTCCACCATCTCTAAGAGGGTTCTACTTCCGTTATTTTCTGATACCCAAGGCCAAGGGGGGTCTCAGGCCCATCCTAGACCTGTGCCACCTCAACCGATTTCTCAAAAAGCTGAGGTTCCGCATGGTCTCCTTGGGTTCCATTATCCTGTCTCTGGATCCAGGGGATTGGTATGCTGCCCTCGACTTAAAGGACACATTTTCATATATCAATTTTCCATGGCTACAGAAAATATTTGAGATTCATGGTGAACCAGGGCCATTACCAATTTGTAGCGCTGCTATTTGGCCTTTCGGTGACCCTGAGAGTCTTCACCAAATGTATGTGGGTGGTAACAGCCATTCTAAGAAGAGAAGGAGTCCATGTATTCTTGTACCTCGACGACAGCTGGCTAATCCAGGGCAAATTTCAAGAGCAAGTGAAGTTGTACATTGCCAGCTGGGAGTCAAGGACTGCCCCGATGAACTCTATTATCTGAGTGGGGACTAGTGTCGAATTCTGCATGTGGTAAGAAGGCCCAACTACTGGAAGGTTGTTTGGATGATGGCAAAGGCCCTCTTCCCAGAGGATCCCTTCTGAGCAATCTCCGAGCTAGTCCACTACATGTAGGCCCATCCCATCACGACTGACCTGCTTGAGTCGTCTTGGCCACATCATGCACGTATGTCGTGCATCACGCGAGGCTGAGACTCAGACCTCTCCAAGGCCTGCTAGCCACCCTCCCTCCAGGTACCCCCTACACAGGGTGGTTATGCTGCCCTCACACATCCTCAGCTCCCTATCATGGTGGCTAGACTGTAAGGTGGACTGTGAAGGGATTCCCTTCACAAAATCTCAACCATCTGTGCACCTGGTCTCCGACACTTCAGTGCTGGGTAAGAGAGCCCTTTTTGGGGTGCTCAAGATTCAAGGGCATTGGTCCACAGTGGAGCTAGCTCTCCACATCAATGTCGGAGAGCTCAGAGCAGTCAGTCTCATATGCCAAGAGTTTCTGCGTCATATTGCGAACACGACAGTATCAGTCCTCACGGACAATAGGTCAGCCATGTATTATATCCACAGACAGGGTGGAGCCCATTCTTCCCCTCTGTGTTGGGAAGCAGTTTGCCTATGGGAGTTCTGCATCACATGTTCTATTACAATTGAGACTCCATTTCTACTGGGGGTGCTGAATCAGTTTGCAGACCGCCTCAGCAGATCCTTCTGCACTCACAATGAGTGGTCCTATGTCGAGATGTTGCACTGAGCATCTTCCGCATGTGGGCTTTCCCCACCTAGATCTCTTTGCCACATGTTCCAACAGAAAGTGCCAGCAGATTTGCTCTCTGAGGGGCCACAGTCCAGGCTCGATGACAGGCATGTTTCTGCTGAACTGATCGCATCACCTGCTCTATGCCTTTTTGCCCATTCCACTGGTGCACAAGGTGCTGACAAAAGATTGAGCAGGACTGAGCTCGGGTCATGCTGATAGCTCCAGCATGGCTCAGGCAATATTGGTACACCTCACTTGTTCATTTCTCTCACGAGACCCCAATTGAGCTGCCTCTGTACCCAGCCCTGATCTCGCAGGACAACAGTCGGTTGCTCCATCTGAACCTCAGCTCTCTTCATCTGACAGCATGGTATCTTTGTGGCTGAATCCTGATGAGCAAGCTTGTTCGGAGCAGGTCCAGAAAATTCTCGTGGGCAGAAGGAAGGCTTCCACAGGGTCCACTTACTGTGCAAAGTGGAAAATTTTTTCCATCTGGTCATGGGGTTCCACAGATGCATTCTTCGATTCAACTCATTTTGGACTACCTCTTGTCTTTGAAGAAACAGGGCTTAGCCCTTTCCTCCATTAAGGTCCACCTGGCGGCCATTTCAGTATTCCACCCGAAGATTGAGAATAGATCAGTGTTCTCACATGAAATGGTAGTTTGCTTCCTCAAAGGTCCTGAGAGGGCATTTCCGTCAAGTGGGGGAACTGCTCCCCCCATGGGATTTGAACCTCGTCCTCTCAAAACTGTCAGGATCACCGTTTGAACTCATGGCAATGTTCTCGTTCCTACATCTTGCATGGAAAACAGCCTTTCTAGTGGCAATTACTTTAGCCAGAAGGGTCTCAAAACTCTGAGCCCTTATGGCAGAGCCACCCTATACAGTTTTCTTTAAGGATGAGGTACAGCTGCGGCCACACCCTAAATTCCTTCCGAAGGTTGTGTCCCAATTCCACTACAAACAACCAATCTTTTGGCCACTCTTTTACCCTAAGCCTCGCGAAACTAGGGAGGAGATGCTCCTACATTCCATGGACATCAGGCAGACTCTGGCTTTTTATACTGAAACAACCAGACTGTTCCATAGGTCACCACAGCTCTTTGTAGCAATAGTGGACAGAATGAAAGGGCTTCCCATCTCCGCCCAGAGGATTTCGTCCTGGATCACTTCTTGCATACAAGCATGCTACGACCTCACGGGCATTCCCCCTCCGCCAAGAGTGACTGCCCACTATACAAGGGCCCAAACCCCCTTCTTAGCTCAAGTTCCAATCCAGGACATATGTAGAGCAGCAACCTGGGCATCAATGCACATGTTCACTTCACACTATGCTATCACACAAAAGGCCAGAAACGACGCCCACTTTGGCCAAGTGGTTCTACAGGCGGCTTGTCCTTGAACCCAGCCCACCTCTGCTAGTACTGCTTGCGAGTCACCTAAGTTGGAATGGACATGTGCAAGCACTCAAAGAAGAAGAAAAAATGGTTACCTACCTCTCATAACTGTTGTTCTTCAAGATGTGTTGCACATGTCTGTTCCAAAACCCACCCACCAGCCCCACTCTCAAAGTGGTTGGTAAGAAGGAACTGAGGAGTAGAGTTTTGGCAGGGCCCCTTATACCAACGCTATGAGCACATGACACCAGAGATGCCAGAGCCGAGCTGACTGATACCACTAGGGTGAAAATCTCTGATAGCTGTGCTCAGGGCACTCGCACACCTAAGCAGGAATGGACATGTTCGACACATCTCAAAGAACAACAGTTACGAGAGATAGGTAACCAGTTTTTCTTGTGTCTTGCTTGCAGTATTCCTGCTAATACATCCCAGAATGCTGTTTGCCTTTTTATTTCTTTTTTTTGCAACAGTGTTACACTGTTGATTCCTATTTAGCTTGTGATCCACTATGACCCCCAGATTCCTTTCTGCAGTACTCCTTCCTAGGCAGTCATTTCCCATTTGGTATGTATGCAACTGATTGTTCCTTCATAAGTGGAATACTTTGCATTTGTCCTTATTGAATTTCATCCTATTTACTTCAGGCCATTTCTCTAGTTTGTCCAGATAATTTTGAATTTTAATCCTATCCTCCAAAGCACTTGCAACCCCTCCCAGCTCAGTATCATCCACAAACTGTATAAGTGTACTGTCTATGCCTTTATCAAATCATTGATGAAGATACTGAACAGAACCAGACCCAGAAGTGATCCTTGTGGGACTCCACTTGATATGCCCTTCCTGCTTGAATGTAAACCACTGATAACTACTCTCTGGGAATGGTTTTCCAGCCAGTTATGCACCCACCTTTATAGTAGCTCCATCTAGGTTGCATTTCCCTAGTTTGTTTATGAGAAAGTCATGTGAGACAGTATCAAAAGCCTTCCTAAAGTCAAGATATACCACGTCTACTGCTTCTCTCCTATCCACAAGGCTTGTTACCCTGTCAAAGAAAGCTATGTCACATTGCAAACCCATAAACAATTAGCTGCTGGCTGTCACCCGTAAGTCTCTTTCTGAATTATTGTCTTGCATTTCTATCAGTCAGAAATGAATTATTTTTACCTAGATCTCTTAGCTGTATTATTATAAATTCAATCTCCTTGTTATTTTTTGCCCATGTTTGTCACTCCCTTGTATTATTTCTCCATCCTAGTTAGTATTTAGAAATCCTCCCGGTTCAGTATCATTTGCCAGCTTAATTCATGTAGTGTTTCCCATAGTTTTAAAAGATTAACCCTACTCCAGACAACATTAGGAGGCCAGCTAGGGTGACCAGACAGCAAATGTGAAAAATTGGGACAGGAGGTGGGGGGGTAATAGGAGCTTATATAAGAAAAAGACCCAAAAATCAGGACTGTCCCTATAAAATCAGGACATCTGGTCACCCTAAGGCCAGCATGGGGGAAATCTATTGCCATTGTTCTGCATCGCTGTAGCTTTGAAGCACCTTTGGGGTATTAGGGGCTAATCATCGAAGGTAATCTCTCTTCATATTGTTTGTGTGCTGCTGCAGCTCCAACCCATGAGGCCTATTCTTTATTATTGGTGTATATTACCAATAGTTGTAGAATGCTATAATCAATCCTTAGATACTTCTGTGATGGGCAGTTGAGAAATACCTAAAATAGAATAATGGATATCCCCCAAAGTCATCTCTTAGCCACCCAATACAGATAAAATCCTTTTAATTTTTCTGCATGAGTCAGTTCTTCCAGCATCTTGATCATTTCTGTTCGCCTGATCTGAATTCCCTGCAATTTGTCTGGATCTCTCTGATAATTATAGAAATTGAGAGCTGGAAGGGACCTCAAGATAATAATGTGGTGCCCCAAACTGAACACAATATTTCAGGACTAAAGTATTTACTTGGTCCTTACTCAAGTTAAATTTCCCTAAGTGCAATAAGTATTTCACATATTGAAATAAGCGTGGTCGGGGAATCAAAAGGGGAAATGGTTCCATGATACAATAGGGTCCAGAAGATCAAGTTTAGAACTGACTTACTCTTTAGTTGAATGTATAATGCTCCAAAGATATATATTAACCCCCTTACACACACTTCTCACCCCCTTACGGCTCCCCAAGGACTCCTGCCCCATCCAATCCCCTGTCCCCTGACGGCCCCCCCGGGACTCCTACCCCATCCACCACCCCCTGTCCCCCGACCACCCCCGGACCTTCTACCCCTGACTGCCCCCTGCCGCCCCATCCAACCCCCCCCCCATTCCTGACTTGCCCCCCGGAACCCCTGCCCCTGACTGCCCCTCGCTGCCCCATCCAACCCCCTCCTTCCTGACTGCCCCCTGGGACCCCTGCCCCCATCCAACACCCCTGTTCCCCGCCCTCTGACCGACCCGACCCCTACCCACACCCCTAGCCCCTGACCACTCCCCGAACTCTTCTGCCCTCTATCCAACCCCCCTGCTCCCTGCCCCCTTACCGCGCTGCCTGGAGTACCGGTGGCTGGCGGCGTTAAAGCCGCGCCGCCCAAAGCACCGGGTCAGGCTGCGGCTCTGCAACTGCGCTGACCAGCAGCCCAGAGTATTGCGCCGGCCTCGCGGCGCTCTGAGGCTGTGGGGGCAGGAGAACAATAGGGGAGGGGCCGGGCAGGAGGGTCCCACGGGCTATAGTTTGCCCACCTCCGCTCTAGAGCAATCTATGGGCTGGGCTGATAGTGTCTTTCCAGTATCTGGCAGATGTAATCATTTTTCTCTTTCAATTTATTGTGTGCTACTAAATTTTTTTTAGCAGCCCATAATCTTGTTCTGTTATGGAAAGGAGCATTTTCTTGTTTATCTTCAGCCATACTGTTAGCAACAACCCAGTGCTCTCCAAATAGGATTTAAAACCTTTGCTTCCTTCCATATCTGTAACTCTGCCTGTATGGGACATTTTGTTGCTGGGCTTTTCTTTCAGTGGCATTAATGTGTATATCTGACCCCTGCAAGTCCTCTATCTTTTCAGAAATGTGAAATTTTTGGATTTAATGGAAAGACAGATACCTTCAGTTGGGCTGCTGACAAGCTAGTATGATTTCATTCTCCAGACACACGCTCCTTCTTGTAAAGGATTCTGAATAGTCTAGTTCAACAAGCATTTTCCTGTACCAGGAATTATTATAATTAGAACTACTGCTAGAGGGCATTCAAAACACTGCACATATTGCTGTGCTACAGTGTGTTGCACACAAAAGGTGTGCGTGTTTATGGGGGGCAATAGATCAGCAGAGAGTGTATGGAATCGTAGCAGGTGGGTGTATGTTTAAATTAGTATGGAGTTAAGCAGCTGAATTTTTGTCAGTAAAAAGAGGCTTTGTCTGTACTTATTCCCATCATCTTGTGGGAAAATACCATGTGCTTTGTGTCAAACTCTCTCTGAACTCAACTGAAATTTCACTTGGCTCGAGGGAGCAAACACAGGAGCTCAGGTGTCGCTGACAGCTGGAAAGCAGAGAACTATCAGGTTTCAAAGGAACAACGAGGACGTTCGGATAATCTGATGGATCTGATGGCTGTGCATTTCTAACCTTAGTGAATTGCCTAGTGAAACCGAATCAATAACAGATCGTGAGAGGATAAAGAGAGGTAAAAGAAGGAAGATTTGTGGAATACGGTAAATGATTAATTTAGGATTTTTAACACTGAAAAGAGGCGACAGAAGCTCACTGTTGCGCTAATGGGAAAGGAGAGGAGGCTTGTCTGAGCTAGAAATTATGTCCATCTCTATGAAACCTTCCTTATGCCCTTAGGGAATCTTAGTCCCAGCTTCCAGCTTGTTCCGAACGGGAGGAAATAAGGCGGATCAGGCCGGGCCAAGGGGCTGCAGCAGGTTGGGGTATTGGTTTTCTGTTCTTTCCTGTCACATGGCCCGTAATTGGATCCCTCGCTCTGCTGGGGGCTGCAGTTGTAGAGCAGATGCTGTAGGGTGTCTCGCTATCGCTGTATTTCCCCTTCTCTGCACCCCAGCACAGAAGCACCCGAGGCAGGAGGCTTCGTTCCCCGCTGTGCTGGATGAAGGAGCCAAGCCGGGACCTGCTGCCTGCCCTCGCCCATGGAGCGTCCCGCAGCCACCGTGGCACTCGCCCTCTCGGGACTGGCGCTGACTTTCTGCTTTGAGCGGCTCTATTCCGGTGAGTGACGTTTGGCTGCGCCCAGAATGTCTCGCACGGACTGGGAGCAGCCGAGGGACCGGGCTCTTTCACTCGGCGGCTCGGGAAAAGTCGCTGTTGTAAAGCTGGACCTGGCTGGCTGGTCTAGCTCACCCAGCGGCTCCGGAGGTGACTTTGCCCCTTTGGGTCGGGGCGCTCTGTATCTGCACCCAGGATGCGCTCAACTGCAGGATCCCGAAGCTATTTCCCCCCCCTCCCCCCGCCCCGACTTGATACAAAGCTCGGACTAATTTGTTTGCAGCTGGGAGGTATTTTTTCATGGCTATTCGCTGCACCTGGCTGATTGCAAACCCTCTTGCATTGAGTGTGGGGATTTTGTAAGGAATCGGTCCGAGACAGGAGAGTCTGTGTGGTGTATATACAGAGAGAGACAGACAGACAGAAATGAGAGATACTGAAACTGCTGCATTTGGCTCTGAGGCTGAAGAAATGTTAAGTGAGCAAACGAAAGCAACATGAGTTGTCTCCCAACTCCGCACAGCGGGGGGTACCTGTAGGGAATGAGGAGCATGCTGAGCGGTAGAAGCAGTTAATCCCTAGGAAATGAGACAAATGACATTAATTTAGGGCTGCGTCAAACCAGCAGAGCCAGCCTTTGGGAGGCACCAGGCTTTCCTCTTCCTGAAGAGTGACGGTTGAATTTTCTGTTTCTGTAAATGCTTTGTTGTGTTCAGGTTCTTAATCCCACCCACCGCTCTGACATCACTATAGCCTCAGCATTTACTAATTAGTTCTTTATTGTGACACTAAGAATTAGCCAAAACATTTGTAATTTCATTGACATCAATAAGTGAAGTGTAAATGTTTTAAATATCTTTAAATCTACTTGCTTATGGCGGTCAAGGGGTGAGCAAGCCTTTATGCAGCTCCAGCTACAGGATCCCAACAACTCAGCCTGTGGATGTTTTCTGGGATTCTCCATCGAGAAGGCTTTGTATGCCGTAGACTTCCCTTCAGGTTACACTCCTACACTTACGTCACTATATAACTTCTTTACAGCTGGGCTTCAATTGGGGAAGGCGTTATAGGTGATTATGTGAGGCTGGGGAATTATGGATGCTTTTACCAGACTCACCTCTTATTTGGGTTGGTTGGGAAAGCCTGCCTGTGAGCAGAGGGAGAGATGTTTATGTTTAGAGAAATAATTGGTGCCACCTCTTTTTCTTACAGTCTGGGTCCTGCTGTACAGACAGAGACTGAGGTGTGTCACCCAACCTCCATTTTGCCAGTGTCTTGTTAACATGAGAGAGACCTGTCCCTCCAAGGCAGTGGGGCATACAGGCTATTAGCTTCCTGTTACTGACAACTGTCAGAGCTACTGGGGCTGCCTGGATACATGATGAATTTTCTGCTTAAAGGTCATTTTTCTGCAGTGTTTCATTTTCTTTTTATAATCATTCCTGGTTCTTATTCCCCACCTGAAATCATTATACTGTTTGTGCTGGCATAAAATCATCTCTACAAGAACTAACTGATGTCACACACAGCAGATAATGGGATGAATTCTACACTCACACTTGCTGGCCTTAAACTGAGTGGAGAAATTGACTTATTTACTTTAGCTGTGACTAAACATCTAACTAGCAGTGACTTTGCTTTGATGCAAAGATGACTGCTAGAGTTAAGGTTACAAAACAGTTTCTGTGACAGTCCCCTTTTTTTATTTGCATGCAACTTTTTAACCCCTAAATCAGTTTTTAGGCTGAAATTTGTGCAGACTTGGCCTATACCTGCAGCTGATTTTTTTTTGACTTACAAGGAGCGGAGCGTGAGCAAGCGTGTTTCAAAATAGCAATCATAGATAATTGAAAATATGGGATGGGCTGACAGCTGCACAGATGGGGCAAATCTAGCCCTTCTGAGTGCCCTCTGGCTGTGGAATCATTGCTGCACAAAGCAGGTGTTTACTTCCTTTGTGGCTTGGAGTGCTACTTCATTCACACTCCCTGTGGGGATTTGGCATGAGAAGATCCATATTATGTCAGAACTTCTTCCCGCAGGAGGACTGCATGTGAGCCAGTAGACAGTTACTTCATGGCCTGGTGGGAAGGATTCCATTCCCACACACACCTAGACACATCTGCCCAACATCTGGCTTCATTCACTGTAGACTTTAAAGATGGATAGGCTTACATCCAAGAGTAGGTAGTTAAGTGGGAGCTATTTAGTTATAGAAATGTACACTCTTGCTGCTGAAGCAGGACGTTACTGTAAACTTGAGAGGATTCATAGCAAAGGGTGATGGATCTTTTAAGCACAGCAAGCTGCTACGGTTCTGACAAAGGAGATTACAGCACTTTGGCAGCTCTACAAGTATATTAACTCTCCAGCAAGGACCTTCAGAACCTGCTGCACCAGGAAAGTCTGCAGAGTTTTTAAATTGCACCTCTTGGTTTTTATTTTTAACATTAAATCCCAGAGAAATTAAATGTGACAAACTAGGGCCTGTAAAAACAATTAGGGTTAGGAGTACAGTACTCCAAAGTCATGAAATTACACTGCCGGAGAAACATTTATGCTTGTAAGTTGGTGTATGACACATTTTTCCTAATTTATATTTCTTTTCTTGGTTAAATGTAATTTTTCATACATCACTGCAATAAATACAGAACTATAGAATACAGAGCATATGCATCATGGCTGAGCTGATGATGTGGGAGAAACCTTCACTTTGGGAATTTCATGATATGGAATACTTCATCTGATGACTGTCAATGCAATAACAATTGCTTTTTAAATTTAGTGCTGTTTATTTTCATTTATTATTTTTCTTCTTCCCTTCTCTGCTATGTCTTACACAGTCTCTTCTAAGACAAATGTTTAATCCAATAATGTTAAAATTTGAATCCAACCACAATGTTCAATTGAATTTGAAATTGGGATGAGTGAACTCATGCTACTTAATGTCAAGGGAAGAACTGCATTTGTTGGCAGAGGACTCAGTGCCAGAGGACTCAGGACTTCTTCCCTTCCCCCTTTATATTCAGTATGGAAGCCTGTTAATGCCAGATGGAATGTGGTCTCTTGGAGCTGTATTTTTAATATTCATTTTCAATTTCTCCATCTTAGGTCTACATGATTTATAAGGATGCTATTATTTCTGCCCTTCCTGTTGCCAGATTTGGCCTATTTTTCCTTTCTCTAGTCCCACTCCACTTAACAATGCTGGAATCAGCAGCTTCCTGTTTTCCTCCCACTTGAATCTCCTGATCTTTTTTGCCTTATTTTCTTACTCCTTCTCTCACAGCCTCCCATCCCTGCAGTGAATGGGGAAATACTCTGTTTAGACTCAATACAGCATTTCTAACCACCTTGAGAGATGGTGAAGTATTCAACGAAGATACTTCAGCACAGCACACTTGTACATCAGCGCAAGGGGCAGGTAAATAAAAATCTACATGTTACTGGCACAATTTCCAAGGGGTTGAGTTTCCTGGTTTTCCACCACACTTGGACAGTGGAACTGTATTTGAAAACAATGCTATGTTAAGAAGCAGCAAAGAGATTACTCAACTCTACCTAAAGATGTGTTCTGTGTCAAAGTGATGTCTCCCTTACTTCTAGTCCAAAGAATCACAAAGCGAGTCTGAATGAGTCTATCACCTTGAGGTTGAACATCATCCAAGAGGTGCAAAACCAGAGCTGCTACAGCACTTTTTATGCATTATAGATAAAAAAAAAACAAAGTTTGCAAAATACAATTTTTAATTTTAACATCTAAAATGCCTCCTGTGCCCATAGGCTAGTTTGTCTGTATCATAACACAATATGCAGTGCAAAATTTTTAACCAATCCACTCACAATATGCAAATGACCTGCTGATATTCAATCTATAAAACTGCATCTTCAAAGAAAATTATTGGTCTGGTAAAAATATTTTTAATAATGACCACAGAAGCCATATTTGTCTGTTTGATCTCCTGAAGTGTCTTCTGGTTTTAATCAGTGTTCCCACATAAAATACAGTGGAAATCTACGATAACAAAACCCCTATTCCTATGTCCATAGGGCAACAACTAGGCTCTCCTCTCAGGAAGGTAAGTTTGTGTTCTGGCCCTTCAATCCCTGGGCCCCAACCTCTATTACTATTGGGATATCTTGGCATCAGTTAAATGGTTGCAGTCCTTCTTTCCATAATTTTACTCTTTCATTAAATGTTTGTTGTTTAATTATATCCTTTCAATCAAATTAGAGACTGCAACATCTGGTTAGTGCCTGTAACTGTTGCCATCTGCACCTAGATAAAGCTCTTTTCATTTAAGGAGGATTGCTCAAGTTCCAAATTGCAGTTTAGAAACTGTTTAGTTTGTGTGGAGGGTAACTTAAAAGGAACTTCTTCAAAGTCTCTGGGAGATGCCCTGCTTGCTGTGATGTGTGCAAGAGTGATATACAGTATCCTCTCATCCTGTTCAGCAGGAGGCTTTAGCTACCACGTGCATATACACACATGCACATGCAGAAGGAGTCCAAGCACTAAATCTGCACTAAGTATCTGGCCACCAGTTGGCAGACCAGTCCCCCTAGAATGTAAATTGGCTCCATGATCTCACTTCCTGCTTTTAGAAAGCTGCTGTAACTGTGTTATTCTCTTCATAAATTTTACTGAATAATTTTAATAAGAACAAACCGCCACCAAAACTGTCAATTCAGCTGTGGGAAATGTAGGACCCTATATGCTCTGTCCTTGCCCCATAGGGGGCTCTTACAGGCTAATGTTATAGACATCGCATTATTATTGTATTGAAATCTAAGATGGAAATATCTGCTTCCTTACTCTCTCTCTTTCTTACTGCCCTCTCCACCATAGCCATCACTGACTGGCTGATACTCTCCACACGCCCTGGTTTTTTTAGAATAAATTATCTGGCACCAATCCAGAATTCTTGGCACCTTCCTCAAATTAAAACAAAACACTAGAAATTCTGACACTTTTCAGTGAAATACTTTGAATCAGCAAGTTTCCAATTCTAAATTTTCTAATTAAATGTCCCACAAAAACTAAAGACACTCTTTCCTATTTCACAAGAATATTCTAAGACTTGACTTAGTTCATACTGCAGCCTTCAGCCCTTTCATCCATGAGCCTTGACATCCATTCTTGCAGGTATTTATTTAACGATAAACATTGCAGCATGCTCATAATATTTACAAAATCTCACATTTGTTGATAAAGGAGGGACACAAGTTTGACAGTTAGGAACATCTTTAAATAAAGCACCCTGTTTACTGCTCCCTCTCCCTATAATAGAAGGGGCTGTAGCTAGGGTGATCAGATGTCCTGTTTTTATAGGGACAGTCCTGTTTTGGGGGACTTTTTCTTTTATAGGTGCCTATTACCCCCCACCTCCTGTCCCGTTTTTTCACAGTTGCTATCTGGTCACTCTAGCTCAAGTGTCTCCACTGATCTAAGAAGTGGTAGTGTGGCATGGGGAGAGAAACACGATCCTAGGTAATGGGGTCTTGCACCGGGTGGTTTTAAATTAAAACCAATACCTTGAACTCCACCCAGAAACTTATTGAGAACTAGTGCTGCTCTTGGAATATCACTGCTATATGCTCTCTGTGTCACACACTTTGCAATGGGCAGGCAGCTACATTCTGTGCTACCTTAAGTTTCCAAATGGTCCTTATGAGTAATCCCATGTGGAGCACAAGGCAGCCATCTAGACTCAGGGTGACAGAGGCCTGGATAATGGTAGTAAGGTCCCCACATCGGAGAAAAAAGGTCACACATGTCTAATCAGAGACAGATGGAAAAAAACTCTTACTGGCTTCAGCTGCTATTTGATGTTCCAAAAGCAGCTCTGGCTCTAATAAACTCTTAATTTTGAACCCGAATCACATAAAGCAGGCACTCTCTCCCTGCATGAGGTACAGCTATCACTACACTCTCTTGATTTTTCCCCTCCTGACCCACCAATACCTTTTTGGCTTATCTGGATTAAGCCTTAACCAGCTCACCCTTATCCACTCTCAGACTTTGTAAATATAAAGTGGGTTGCTTGTTCCACTGTACCAGGGTGGTTGGATATGATGAAAACAGAGCTGAGTGCTGTCAGTACACTGCACACTCCATCAATGCTTTCTCAGTGACTTGCCTAGGAATTTCATATACACACTGAACAGACCTTCCAGCTGTGAATTATCAGAACCACTCAAGTAATTCCATCCATATCAAATAGTGACTGTATACACCGCAATAAAATATCATGGGCAAAGGTATCAAAAGACAGCTGATGGATCTAATATTATCAGCATGGACACATTATTCTCATCCACCAATAGATGATGCTCTGCAACCAGTGCAGTTTCAACTTCAAACCTAGGCCTGAAACCTAGCAGAAAAAGATCCAAGAAATATGAGGACTACAGAAATTTCCAGAGTTGATTTGCCACAGCCTTCTCAATGAACTTTCTCCAAAAACTGGCACTTTGGTAGAAGTCAAGCAATGGTTTCTTAAGCAGGAGCCAACAATGTCTTCCTTAAGGATCATGGGCATTCTGCCCTTTTTCTTTCTTTTTTTTTTTAAGAGAGGCACTGACAGTTGTCCACAACAAAAAGTTCATTACTTCTCTACTGGCCTTTAACAGCCACAAAGGACATGGCTCCAATTCACAGGTTTGGACACAAAGCAAACTTAAGTCCTCCAAAATCTCAGGGAGCAAGACTGGCTGAAATTCAAACAGAGTGAACATTAGTCCCTTCAAGCCATTTCTCTGTTGCTAATTAGTTCTCAGTCTCAGTAATTTTTGTCCTCAAAGTAACAAAAGCTCTTTACAATGAGAAAAACACAGCTCTCTAACTGAGAAGAAGCAGACCAGATCCACCAAGCCATCAACTGCCTGGAATAGGTCTGCTGTGCAGACTAGAAGGAAAATAATTTATTTGCTGTCTACATAGCCATGATGCACTATTGAGAATTCTATATGGCGGAAATGATCAGATTCATCCAAAGACTTCTGCCAACAGCATTGACTCACCTCCCATCTCATTTCACTTTTTGCAGGCCACCTGTAAACCATACTGACTTGATAAAACCACTTTTTTAGGGACCACTGTTGCAACGGTGGAGAACTAAAAGGGCTGTAGTATATTTCTACCAGTCCATCAGTAGAGTGATGCTCTGGAATTTCTCAGGCTCTTTTGGCTTTAGAGAGCAGACCATCAAAACAGTCACTTCCTGTCATGGGGATGGTGTGCATCAAACAAACTGTGGAAGTCAATAGTCTATGCATGACATGGGGGAACTTTCATGTCTCTATCTGTATTCTGAATACTAGATACAGAGTGACGGCATTAGGGCTAATATCATGCTCATCATGGCAGCTTGAGTTGGGGGTGACATCAATATCTATCTTAAGTGAAAGTCAGCTTTGCTCTGCCATGCCTTGGAAGGCATGATTTGGTGCTGATGGTGCTGGGGTGTGTATATCTACATATTAGGGCTGAACAAGAGTGTTGTCCCACTTTATATATCAGTTTTCCAATTTTTTAGCAACCTGTATTAAACTGTGTTTTATTACTATAGAGTTTTGTTAAACATTTGATGAATCACTTCAAATTTGATATTTTATTTATCCAAAAAATATTTTTGTGAATGATAATTCATAGATGCATTCTGCCTCTTTAAGCATGGAGTTTTCTGCCTTTGAGTTTTTAATGGGTAAAATTAATATATTTGTTATGGAAAATTAGAAATATCTTTTGATCATAAGTAGTTAAAAAAATATAATAGCATTACTGAGAAGTTTTGGGTTTTGAATTAATTTGACAAATTATATTGATTTTTCAGAATTATAGAGTGGCACCTTCCAAGACTGTTAGAAAATTCAATAAAATATTGGAAAATGATTAACGTTAAATCATATCTGCACAATGGTTCTAGATAGTATATTTCCCATCAAATTTTAAATAATTTACAGACATAATGACTCAGGAGCTATTACTGACTATGTCCCACGGATTCATTAATGGTCAGATCTGCACAAAACAATCCAAAATACTGGGAAACGCAATGAAAAGCCCTGTTTCCATTAAAGCCCCAATCCTATAAACATTTACACCTGTGTCTGAATTAATACATTGTGAGTAATCCTATTGATCTTTAATATGACTACTTTCAGTTAAATTGTAGCCATGTCAGGCTGGGATATTAGAGACACAAAGTGGGTGAAGTCCAATAAAAGATATTACCTCACCCATCTTGTGTCTCTAGTTACATTTAACAAAGTTAAGTATGTAAGTAAGTTGTTTGGTTTGGTTTGGTATTTTTGCAGGATTGGGGATGTCAAGGTTCCTTCCCCATTCTGAACTCTGGGGTACAGATGTGGAGACCTGAATGAAAGACCCCCCCCCAAGCTTATTCTTACCAGCTTAGGTTG